TCTCGTAATAATGTTTTTCCTGCTGTCTAAAAATGGCACGCATCAATTTAGGATAATACCTAGGATAATACCTATACCTATATGTCGAGTGAATGATGTATAAAAAAAAAGCGTATCCCGAGTTTTTATTTGTGAGCTACTGCGCTTACATCACAATGTCTTGAAAGTCATTTGGATGAAAATGTACTTGAAACACATGTCACACATTACTTAGATGCAATGATCACATAACACAATAAGATGTCGAATAATATATTTTTTCAAATGAACAGAAGATTTTCAAAGTAAGCAATCACGCATGAGTATAATTTTTTCAACTTACCAGCGATGGAGAAGATGGTACACGGAGGATTCCGGATGCAGAAGCTGTAGCAGAGGATGGTGCTGTGGATCTTCAGTTGAGGCTGCAGGGGAAATACGGCGGGCTGACACACATTGCGGTACCTGGGCTCGTCAGCGAGGGCGAACTGTCCGAAAAAAAATAAATATCATCCATGAGGAAACCTTAGGCGAAGAAACGGCGATGAATTTTAAGCGAAGTTTGTTATTCAGAAGATTAATTAATATTCGGAAATTTTGTGAACTGGCTGTAGGTATGCAGTGCTTTGTTTAGAAAGCCAAGTATAGAGCATTATCATTGAACACCGGCCTATTCCTTCCCCATGGGTACCATCATATTGGAAAGGTTTACAGAAAAGTGAATAGATTACAATTAAAAAGGAGAAGCTTGGGCTTTCATAATATACTTGCTTCATTTCGGTAAAACTTTAATTGGCTTATGTTGATTTGCAAATCTATTTGGTTTTTGTAAACTGTGACACCTAAACATTGCTCTCATGGCTGTTTCTTTTTAAAGACAGCATTGATTAGTAACATCGGCGTTCTTAAATTTTACCCTTTCTTACGCTAGCTTGATCAGCATCTGAAATATGCGCTCCCGGAAAATATATGTGTTTATGAAATATTTACAGGAAATTTGCTTACTTTTTGATAAGTTCCCGAACGTGTGGTTGACAGCGCTTGATGAAGGCAAACGCAAAGTCCAGTGAAGACTTGAACATTTCTAATGAGATATCCCAACTGCATTATGATAACTTAATTGATAATGAATATATTATTCAATACAAATGTTAATACCTAAGACGAAATAAATCTTGAAATAGTAATATTCCATTATCGAATTGCATAAATAGCCATATCGGTCCGTTGATCGTGTGAAGTCGTAGCAAAACCCAGACGTTGTCGCTCCTCTCGCCACATCCAGTAAACTGGATTTGTCTGACCGCTAGACCAACGAAAGTTGAGCTAAACTAAATTCATACTTTATTTCACTTAGGAATATTTATGATATTTATTTTTAACCCAGCGTTCGGCATTCGCATCAGGTGGATGTCTAAAGTCATGAGGCTTTTGTTCACGTTGCTTACGAAGTCAATTTTCGATTATTTCACCGTGAGATAAAGCTTTTTCTGGCAGTGCACGCTAAGAATTATGATTGACAGATCAATTGGCATGTTGCAGTGCACGCATATGATGGCAGTGCAAAAGATATGTTGCAGGGCACGCGAATAATGGCAGTATAAGCTACTAAATGAAAACTTTATATGAGCTACGAAAGGCTTTTAAGAAACAAATTGTTTGAATGACACGCTTAACTTCGGTCATGGCCAAACTTGTATTCGATGTTATAATAGTATACTTGAAAAGAAAGTCAACATAACGCAGCTAGGTAGCTCATCTGATGTTGAACATTTTATCTGCCTTGACGACGCACTTGAAATTCATATCACCCATTGAAAAAAATGGTTATTTTACAAATGAAATAATATTGATTATGTTTTGAGTTTATATCGCACACAAATTTAAGAAAGTTTTCTAGTTCATTGCCTAGTTGAGCGCGTATCATGTCTAGAGGCTACCTGGACCTGAAATAGCGGTTTGGTGAGTGGTAATCAATTAAGAGGCATTGAAAAACAGAGAACATTTCAAATATTTTAGTGAATCGGGAATACTTGTAAAATTTAACATTGTACTCTATTTTTCTATAATTTTATTTAAAAAATATTCAATCTATTAATAGTCTTTTTTTGAGGTCATTCAGAGCCTAAATCAGACATTATGAAGGTGGTCAAAACACATGCACTATAGAGGTGCAGTTCATAAGGATTCAGGTTGTGGGTCACGGAAACAAGGCCGCGTATTGCCGAGTGAGTTTTTTTCTCTATATCCTTAAATGTATTTGTATTCAAAACAACGATTATTTTCATGCAGGAGGAGGTCAAATCGATCAAATATGAACTATATGAAACTCATGAATTTGAAGTATTTCACCATCTAGTTAGTTTTTATATTTCGTTGCGAGACTTTCTATGCCTTATTCTTCTTAATTAGCAAAAAATAAAAATTTCAGTACAAAATACAAAATAATGTTAATTAGTAAAAATACAAATACTCTGTGACATTCCTGTTGGACTACCATGTTATTAGAGTGCATCAATGCACTGTACTTTAATAAATGGTAGTGCAACAGGAATGTTACTATGCACTCTAATAAATGGTAGTGCAGCAGGAATGTTAACGTGCGCTCTAAAAAATGTTAGAGTAAAAGATATTTTGCAGTGCACTCTAATCAATGTCTAAAAATGACAGTGCAACAGTAATGTGGCAGTGCAAAAAGTAAGTGGCTAAGCACTATACTAAATCGAAACTTCATACCAGCTCAGACACGCCTTCATATAAAAAGTCTTTTGTTTGGGCACATTAGTGTTGGTCATGGCCAAGCATGATTGGTAATGACTATGCGTGAGTTCGATGATGAAGCAAAACTGGAAGTCGACGAGAGCTGCTTTACTGACATCGCACGTTGTATTGACGTTCAGTTCGTACTTATAATTCAATCAAACTTTAGCGAAAAGCCATTAGAACACAAATTCAGGAAATAATAACAATTAGGCTCTAGAGTTAGAGTGAATTTAATAATGATTCTACAATATTAGGTTAAAATTATTTCGTTTTAATATCTGCATTTTAAATTTCAGTTTGTGGGAGAATGACAAGGAGAATTGTAAATATAGTTGGCTGTTATAATAAAAAAACTTGCCCATAAATTTAAATTTATTTTACAGAATTTTTTTTAAACATTATATTAACTTTAAAATTTCATGACGTAAGATATTCGAATTTTATATTACATGTGAGTTCGAAAAGTTTGATGCACTTGAGTTGGATAATTAGTAAAGGGCAGAGCAGGGCAGCGCTACTTTGAAATGTAGCGGCCGCTACCGCTACCGCTACCGCTACATGCTCTAAATGTAGCGGGCGCTACCGCTACCGCTACACCCACTAGATTGTAGCGGGCGCAACCGCTACCGCTACTGTAAAATGTAGCGCCGCTACATTAGCCGCTACAATGGCCAAAATTATTGGAAATCTCTAAATATTTATTGTTCTGCTATTGGGATTTACTCATAAACATTTAATGATAATAAAACATTTTCAAAACATATCAGTGCAACTTTTTTGCAATTAACCTAACCGAAATAGTACGGGTTAGATCCAGTAAATAAAAGTTAGTTATTTTTATGTTTTGTTGGATTATGTTTACACGCTTGACGTGGAACAAGCAGATGCGCAGAGCACGATCAGTCATGGATAAATGCAGAAATGCAGCATGGAAAATTTGGTTTACCATGCAAATCACAGACAAAATGATGCGATTATATTTAATGTGATATTGCTCTAATTCCAAATTATCTAAAATTATTAATTTAATAAAAAGTCTTCGGGCGCTTTTAAATAGGGCTCCCTTGGTTTGGCAGGGAGCCCTAAGGAAAGGATACGCACATGAAGGTTTAATATAAATATTTTGAAGCGCTGTAAATTTGGAGCGCACGTCGCACTTGATCTGGTACCGAGAATTTATCAAGTCAGTTGAATCGAATTAAACTCAAGGTTACTAAGGACGGTCATTTATATCTTTTTTTTTCTTTTTATTTTGTACATAGATTCTGAACAATTTAAAAATGTTTAAAGTGGCTGACTTGCCGAAAAAAGAGGTTGCTGACCAGAAAAATAAATTTCATACAGGCTTGAATTTAGTTTTATGTGCAAGGTCGTAAAATGAAACTACAGAGAAATATTAGATATGCACTTAAACAGTGTCTCAATTGTGCACTTGTTTCAATTGTTTGTACACTTAAACAGTGTCTCAATTGTGCACTTGTCTCAATTGTTAGTACACTTAAACAGTGTCTCAATTGTGCACTTGTTTCAATTGTTTGTACACTTAAACAGTGTCTCAATTGTTTGTACACTTAAACAGCTGTCTCTTATACACATCTNAAACAGCGATACATGAGAAGAAAACAGCGATACATGAGAAGAAAACAGCGATACATGAGAAGAAAACAGCGATACATGAGAAGAAAACAGCGATACATGAGAAGAAAACAGCGATACATGAGAAGAAAACAGCGATACATGAGAAGAAAACAGCGATACATGAGAAGAAAACAGCGATACATGAGAAGAAAACAGCGATACATGAGAAGAAAACAGCGATACATGAGAAGAAAACAGCGATACATGAGAAGAAAACAGCGATACATGAGAAGAAAACAGCGATACATGAGAAGAAAACAGCGATACATGAGAAGAAAACAGCGATACATGAGAAGAAAACAGCGATACATGAGAAGAAAACAGCGATACATGAGAAGAAAACAGCGATACATGAGAAGAAAACAGCGATACATGAGAAGAAAACAGCGATACATGAGAAGAAAACAGCGAAACATGAGAAGAAAACAGCGATACATGAGAAGAAAACAGCGGTAAATGAGAAGGCATTCAGGAACAAAAGGTGTTTTGATCAGGCAAAAATGACTAGGCTCACTCACTACGCTTACTGCAATGTTTCAGAATTATATTTTATACAGCCGTTTTATCATATACTGTAACCGCATATTAAGTTTAGTTATGCAGTGGTAATTCAACCGTACCTCTCCACCCGCTCCGGTGCAGGGACCCACGCAACGAGTACCTGCAAAAAAGTGTATCTTCACTTTAAGGCTTTGTTTTACCGGACAGATTATTCGGCTAATACCTTCAAGCGAAGGGTCATTACATGCTGTTTGGTGATAACGTTTTTCGAGGAAAAAAACATGATAAAATTAACACCTTCCGCAAAAGTAGGACATTAGATAGTATGAAATGCGACTCTATATACTTGATAATAAAAAAATTTTAAGCTAGTGCTCCGACGGAAATCGTCAAACCTAATGAAATATATACGTTATTTCACGATTTCTCCTAGCGTTTTTTCCTACTTTGACGTTCCTGAAGTTCAGGCGCCTGTTGCGGGAAACGGCGTTGCTGTTGCTGCAGTTGAGGTGCCTGTTGCGGGATCTGTGAAAGGCAACGGAGGATATTGTACAGTTTGACTTTTGATTCAAAGAAAAAAATATCACTGTTAGATTATGTCACTTAACGCATGCTTGATTTCTAGAAATTTCTTGTTATTGTGTTGATCCCCTTTCTTAGAATTTGCACAATGGCAAAATTTATTTCTTAACAGTAGTAGGACTAGAAGTCCAAGAAATCAACATAGCAATATATTTCCACACTATACGATTTCATTGACGCACAGTCGTTCGAGCAAAACAATTAAAATATATTATTAGAATTCAAATAATATAATATTAGAATACAAATAATATAATATTATAATGCTAATGTCACATATTACATAGTCAGGCCGCGCCACGGTGGCGCTGGGCAGCAGCGTAACGGCCGCAAGCACGGCAGCAAAAACGAACAAAGTCTTCATCTTGACGACGATTCTCGTTGACGGAATACCTGAGGAAGTAAGGCAGACAGTATCAACTAATAATATTTTTTAACTAATAATATTTATTACAAAATAATATTAACGGTGAACCACGAATAATGTCTTCATCCATGCGACGCGACCGGAGAGCTGTTAATGGTAAGCAGATAATGCAACAATTAACGCTTTTGGAGTTATTCTAGAAACAGATCTCTGTTTGAATTGTTATAAAGCATAGGTAACTTTAAGCCAATATGATCAAAAATGCCTTAATTAAATTTTAACTGACTCCTCGATTGCACTGAATTTAAACACGAAAAACGTAATAATGTTTCAAGATATCTTAAACAGCCCTCAGAGTAAAATTGAACTGTGTACAATTCGAGGAAGCTGGAATGCCGAAATGCTGTTAGATGATACAAAACCGATTGTATAATATTAAAAAATGTTGGTAATAATTCAAAGAAGGAATGAGTCCCATGCAAATTCCATACGGAAATCAACAGATGCTTAATCACAATGAATCGATAACTGAGCAATCATATGTTAAAATGTCAAGCAAATGTTAAAACGAAATATTTAATAGAAACTTTAAATAATCACACCGATCTATTCACCCAGTAATCACCTATATGGCTAGAGATGGAACTCTTACTGATGCTCTGGCTGTAACTTGCACTGTAATGAAGAGCTTGCAGACGCTCAGCGTTTTTATAGAAATTTTCTCGTGCTGTGAGCCCTTGTTCTCGATGGGCCACGTTGACATCATTCGTCATTGTCGACATTTTTCAGACTCCTGTAATAAAAATCATTGCAGTCCCCGTCAAAACATGAAAAGCAATAAAATCTTCTGAACCAACGAGTTCGACAGGCTTATAGAACACCGCATTGAGATCTTGATTAAAATGACAGCTGTGTGGCACCCATGACTTACCTGCTCACATGGTCGGGGGAGAGCAATGCGCGTGGGTGACTCGTGCATTTGGTTAAGCCACGTCGACTTACTGACTGACGTCAGCATTACAGTGGCCAAGAATCTGTTGTATTATTTATTGTTTAATAGTTTAGTATCAAATTAGTCGGCGTTTAAATGAAATGCACATAAATTATTTTTGTTTGGGAATTCTGTATTGAAAAATTCAAATTTTCAATGAATGTTACAAAAAATTAAGGCTTCGCGCAACATTTTTTAATATTCAAAAGTTATCTCGCACTGAAAGAAACAATATTTGCTCATGTTCAAACGTTACTTCGTTGATTTCGAGTTTACTTCGTTGATATTGAATTTACTTCGTTGTTTTCTAATTTACTTCGTGGATTTCGAGTTTTATTGGTTGCATGATTTCGAGTTTACTTCGTTGATTTCGAGTTTACTTCGTTGATTTTGAGTTTACTTTGTTGATTTCGAGTTTACTTCGTTGATTTCGAGTTAACTTCGTTGATTTCGTATTTACTTTGTTGAAACACTGTTTGGTCAGCGTTATTTCAACGCCCTGCAGATGCCTGTTACGTCACATGCCAGTTGGTAATGATTCGAATACTGTTACAAAAATTCCAAAAACACAGCGAAGCACACTTTTGTACAAAACAAAAATGCACGGAACCAGAGTTGCAAACGAATACATATAACTTTGATAATATTACTCATGTTCGTCACATAGCTTTTTTGAACTTTAATTACATTTTATATGAATTTCCTATGAATATTTCGGGCATTAGAAGCGATGTTTTCCAGAATTTTATGATGTATTTCTTGACAAGTTGCTAAATGATTGTTTTCTATTCATGAATTATGTAGACTTTAATGTATGAGGTATGTAAGTCTTTTTATAAATTGTATTTACTTCTATATGTAAATGATGTATACTTCTACGTGTGATTTATGTATTCTTCAATATATGAATGAAGTATACTTTTTCATATGAATTATATTCACTGATATGTTTGAATGAGCATATTTTTATACATACCTTCTGAAATCTTCTATACTCAAAGGAGACGAAACTTTAACCTATATAGCTACGATCGACGCTCATTTAAAAAGACATTTAAAGTGTTGCAAAGTCCGCTGCTCATCGGGATGAATTAAATATCTAGTGCTGAAACAGCCGTGTGATTGTTCATACTTATTCCTACCAAACCTCTTTACAGCTCAAGCAAACTGAGTCCCCTTCCTGTTACGCAAACTGAATCTCTTCTTACTGCTCATGCAAATTGAACCTCTTTACTGCTCACATAGAATGAGCCTCCTTACTATATACTCATCGTACCTAGTCTTCTACTTAGAACTAACACGGAACTACCAACTGGTCAACTACATGGCACAAATGAACTTAATAAAAAATGTACCAAAATATAAAATCACCTGTGTGATCTTAACTGCTCACACAGAATGAGCGTCCTTACTACTCATCGTACCTAGTCTTCTACTTAGAACTAACACGGAACTACCAACTGGTCAACTACATGGCACAAATGAACTTAATAAAAAAATATATCAAATATAAAATCGATTTAAACGGATTTATCATTCTAATAATGTATGCCAGTAATTCGTGTAATATCAACCATTTTACGATCTTATACATCAAGGTAGCACGTCTGAAAATTTTCCAGTGCGTGTACTAAACTCAACTTAAATTTGTCGTTCCGCATTAGCTCGTTGAATACAAAGATTGCATCACGCTTCCAGCTCTGAAAGCGAAGAAATCCTCCACAAAGCTATATAATTTCTAAGCATATTGTGAATAATTTTGAAACATCCACATTAAAAAATCTGTTTGTTTGAAAAAACTTTTTGCATGTTCTCGCTTGCAAAATTTTGGTTTCGTGCTGTTGTGATGGAATTACCGTATTTGATCGGTACTTAACTAGGCATTCAAATAAAGTAATTATTATAATAAATATCACAATGCTAACGACATGCAGATCATGGCTCTATAATTGAAGATACGTAAAAAGCGAAGTGACTTCAAACGCCGGTTTAGCTTCTTTCATCTTATTTGTCTGAACTTTAACTTTTCTTTCAAACTTTACGTCGGTTCTCTGATGCACATACGGTATCGTGCGCATCATTGAATTTTTGATCATATTTTTTATCTGACAGGAGTCGCTGGCAGAGCACAGATGTGCGGCAGCAGCTCAGTCATGTCCACCTCCCGTCATGGTTGATTGAAAAGCCCCTCGTTTTATTTAAATTTTAACGTTTGCCATTTGCCGATAAATTATTGTGAGAGAGATCCCCGTCCCTGGAGAGATCATCTAATTGATGAAATTTTGTTTCCGTTGTGAATGTTTTTGTTGTTCTGGTGTTTGATATTCTCTTTTTTGTGCTGAATGGACTGAGAATATGTGATGAGAGTTTCGATACACCGTCCCCGATACACCGTCCCCGATACACCGTCCCCGATACCTGTCTCTTATACACATCTAGATGTGTATAAGAGACAGGGACTGCGTTCACCGTACGTGTCGTGATGGTCACGCAGGACTGCGTTCACCGTACGTGTCGTGATGGTCACGCAGGACTGCGTTCACCGTACGTGTAGCGATGGTCACGCAGGAATGCGTTCACCGTACGTGTCAAGATGATCACGCACGACTTCGGTCACCGTAATGGCCGTGATGGTCACGCTTACACTTCCAGCAGTCACCGTAAGTATAATGCATTGCTGGTATCTCGTTGTGGTATGGTAGTACAACTTTTGTTCGGCGTTTATGGTCGCCTATTGTGTTGGAGAGCACAACTTTTGTTTGCGCGTTAATGTCGCCCTATGTTTAGGAGTTTCGATTGTTTGCGCTACGCAAAATAGATCAATTTCTCTTACTAGCTTTTTGCTTGGCAACTTGAACAACTTTAAATTAAACAAAATGCCAGTAATAAATCCCTGTGCATTAAAACGCATTTTGTTTTGTTCTTTGATTCTTCATTTAAAAATTTGTGAGCATCGTGTAGCTTGCAGAAGCTCTGGCGGGAAAAGATTTCGAAATTAAACTTATGGAATGAGTATAGTTTGTAACAAATGAGAAAGGTCAAACTTTGTTTATTTTTCCCTTACACATTGAGTTCTGTATATGTACAGTTCGAGGAAGGTATACATTTAAGATTTACAATATTTAATATTATTGCAAAATAATGTAAACAGCAGCTGGCCAATCAGAGCACGATTTGGGCGGATAGAACAAGTGTTTCTAAAAAAAGTCTTCTCTAGTTAATAAATAAATTAAATACGTCATACGTGGATACAAATGTAACCTCAATCGGAGGAAGAAGTGGAAAAGGACTTGTACCGTTTTGTATATATTTTTGTACCGTTTACATAAAAAATTCCAGATGGTGCTTTAGGGGGCGAACTTGGCAAAATTAAAATTACATTTGAAGCTTGTGGTGACTACCGACCGATCCCTAACTGGTCAGACTTTACACTACGACCAACTCCTCTTAGGCCTTTGACGTCCCATATAGCGACCTCTCTATGTCTCGCCGCTCTAATAGACCCCTGCAGATATAGCTTTATCAGACGCAAGCTATAACGACCTCTGAGTGTGTAGTTTGTTATCAAGGAGTTGGATTAAAGAGACTCAGCAGGCTATATTATCAGCTAAATCTGAGTCAGATTTAACTGAAATCATTCAACGCTTAATTATACGACTTTAACTGCAGACTTGATAAGCGCGATAACAAATTTTGTGTTAGCATTGCAATATGCTTCCGTTATGTGAGCTTCAGACGGTCAAGTATAAACGTACAGCGTCTCGTATCGTTTCTGTGTTGCATACAAATTGTCGATTTAATTGTGTTCGAATTGTTTTGTGTTCGCTGCCTATTAAGAAGAGGACATTGTCATTTACGTTGTAGTAAGGCCGATTAGGAAACCGTTATTATTTTAGTTAATTAATTACATTCGAGAGGAATAAAGAATATACCAGAAATTATACGTAAGAATGACGGTGACCTACTCACGCAACGTCGCTTTGAGCCAGAAAAGCTTCAGTGTCTTCCTCAAGCTGCTCTTCAGGTCGAGAGGACATTCAGTGCCATCACCAAAATTTTATCTTTATCGCTGCCTAATTTTTTAAATATTCTCAGAATCCGAAACTTTTATGGATCACTACTTGTATATTATAGTTGCACCTATAAACATTTTCATTGAAATTATTTACTGGAGTAGTACGGTCATAACTCGCGTAAATGCACGTAGCGGACGATTTCTGCTCTGTGATTGGTGTATATCCCTTGAAAAGCCGTCAGTGGCTCAGTGCTTGGTTGACAAAGTTAAGAACATGTATACGTAATATACTGCTCTGAACTCCCTTTTTGTCTTAATATGCATAACATTTGTATATATAGATAGCACTTGCTAATAACATTCAGAGAGTAAACAACCTTTTTTCCCACCAGATGGCGTGGCAGCGTCTACAAGTTGGTGTGGCGAGACTTGGTCGTTTTTACCCTCGTTTACGCCGCCCTATCACTGGTCTACAACTTTGCCTTACAAGACGGCGGGAAAAGGTAATGCCTGGCGTGTGTATATATTTAAACTGTAATAAAATATTGCACTGTAACCTTGGAATAACATATTTTACCTGGGTGGAATAGAAATAAACTGAAATAAATGAATAGGAGCGCTTATCGCATTAGATAAGAAAACCTAAAACTGGACCAATTCTTTCTTGGATAATATATTTGTATTGAGCATGTAACGCAGCTGGATCAATATTGAATATGTGAAGCACTATCTTACCATAGCAGAGCTAGTGATTTCAATATGAGCAAATGAACTCGCCGCAAAATATCTTCATGGGCTACAATTATGACTGAATGTTTCTTGCAGGCTGTTCGCAAATGTGGTCACGGGAGTTAGGGAGAATGGCAGGATCGAAGTGAGTTCCCTGATATTCGTGCTCGGTTTCTACACGTCTCACGTGATGCAGCAACGCCATGCCTTCTACAGCGTCATCCCCTGCACAGACGCCTTCGCCATGGCGGTGTCAGCTGCACTCAGGGGCAGGGTGAGCCCTTTTATCAGCTGCACTCCCGGTGAAAGCATAACATTTAAAGCTTATTTCAAACCAAGAGCGGCGTTACGAGGATCCTACTAATACGGTGATTCTTTTAGATGCTGATCACCGCACGCAGGAGGGCTGGGCTAACGATTACTGCTGATGTGAAGTGACAGTATACAGGGTCTGCCATATATATGGCAATGAATGTTTGCTATATAAAAATAAATTGGTTCCTAGGAGACTTTTCTTCTATAATGAAGCTTAATATCATCTATTAATTCATCTATTTTATATTGCCGAAGTCTGAGGTGTCTAAATTTACTATTATTTATGGCAGAAGATAGAAATGCAATTGTAATCCTTCATGAAAAGGGCGAGAGTAATTCAGTCATTGAAAAAAAACTCCAAATTCGTCGTGAAACTGTGTGGAAGGTGGTAAAAAAATTCAAGGAAAGTAGTGACATGGTCAATCGACCTGGTCAAGGAAGGAAACGAAGTGTCCGAACAAAACAATTAATTGGTCAAAAACACGAGGGATAAGTTGAAGAGAAACCCTCGTCGCTCAGCTGCAAAATTGGCTGCAGAAGCAGCAGTCAGTCAGACATCAATGCGTAGAGTCCTCAAAGATGACCTCAAAACCTCCCCTTACAAGATGCAAACAAGGCATGAACTAACAGACCGTCATGAACAAATGAAGCTCGAAATATGCCAGCATATTCTGGATCTCATTGAGGATGGCACGCTGCCCAACTTGGTGTTCAGTGACGAGAAAAAATTTGACATACCTCAAAGCGTTAACCGTCAAAATGACACAGTTTGGAGTCAGGATGAACCTATGGCGACCAGAACAGCAACACGACGTCAAAATCCCATGTCCTTGATGGCTTGGGCCGCGGTGACCGCCACTGGGAGGTCCCCACTCGTTTTTGTCCCCTCCGTAGTGAAATTGAACAGTCAGCGATATATTTCAGACATTTTGGAAGCTGTGTTGTTACCTTGATGGGCCTGCAAACACTTCAACGGCACACCATGGAGTTTTCAACAAGACTCTGCCCCATCAAGACTCTGTATGGCCCTCAAGAAGCCCTGATTTGAATACTCTCGACTTTTCTGTGTGAGCTATTTTAGAGAGTAGGGTCTGCAGAACACCTCATGATTCTTTGGATAGTTTGAAGTCTAAATTGACACGAGAATGGGACTTGATCTCTCAAGAAATGCTGCGTGTCTCCTGTGTAGCTTTCCCGCGTAGATTGGAGGCCGTCATTAAAAATAAGGGTGGCCATATTGAATAAATGTGTCTGAGAATTGTTTAGGTAATTCTTGGCTACTAGCTCATCCAATAAAAAACAATGCACCTCTTTGTTTCATTGAGAAATAACATAAAAACTTGCGTTGCCGGAAATATGGTGGACCCTGTATTGTTAACATCCAGAATTGGTGGGCGGAGTTTGTACATTTTAATTGTGTACTGTTTATGAAGAGTAATTTATAGTTATTTCTAACATATTGTGAACAGGATAGCCACGTGTTGAGGCTACGCCAGACTCTAGTGCGGTATGCTAACTTGGCCTGCACCCTCACGCTCACCAACATCTGCCTGCCTCTCAAGAAGCGAATGCCCACTGCCAAGCATTTCATTGAAACAGGTTTTTGGGCCGATCCTGATGATTACTGAAGAATAAGGATTATAAAATAAATAAAACTAAAAATAATTCACTGGCCGATGCTACCAGTGAATCAACTTTTGCTTGCTGTGCAGATAATTATCAAAAGCGAAACCAAACTCGAACTTAACTCAAAAACTTTTACTCATTAATTAAAATCAAATAATTTTTTAACTGGTTTCGGAAAAGTTGACATTTTGCACACTAATACCAAGTATTAAGAGTCGTTGTCCAGATATTTCAGATAAAATCATTCATCAGCGGCATAAATTATGCAGCCCCTAATTGTGTAGCGTCTCGTGTACCAATAGTGTGGGTGCCACAATCGTTACCGTCATTAAAATTAATTAATTTAAATAACTAATTAAATAAATTAATTAAAATCTTCGTCATCACGATTACTCTAGCTCACTTTGAGTTATGTTCTCTAGATTTCTGTCGCGTAGAGTGAGACTCGCAGATGATGAAAAGTTCACAACTCTGGAAATCAGAAATTCTACTGAAAAAACCGCTTGTGATTTCGAGATTTTGGATTTTGAAATATATTCGGTAATGAATTTTTAACCATAGCAAAACACAGGTCCTCATATCATGGCAAATGTAGCTTAAGTGTTACTTGAATTTGATATTATAAACAAAATTCGAGGTATGGTCCAAAATTTATTTGTCAATGCCAGGTTTTATGACAGAACAAGAAAGTGAAATTATACAAAATCTGGACCCTAAAGCCAAAGGCTTCGGTCGCACCTACTGGGTACCTCTTGTGTGGGCCACAAACGTGATCACTAGAAGCGAGACGTACGTTGGGGATAGAGAGAAAACTACTGAAATCAGCGGCCTCAACACCAGCAGGATGTTGGATGAACTGCACAAACTGAGCAGAAGCTGTAACCAGCTCATGAGCCATGATCAAGAGATTATCCCGCTCGTCTACACTCAGGTCAGCTCGACCTAAAGATTTAGCTTGTATTCAAATGCCTACTTCCTGTAGGTTCTTTTGATCTTATGAAAGTTAAGGTTATGTAGTCCTGGGGTCTTACTATCAAAGACAGTTAAGAGTTTGTAACGCCGTCAGTTTGGCTGTTCAAGCTCAAGCTACCAATCACAGACAAAGAGTCGTCCGCAACGTTGACTTAATTTGCTACTAGTACTGTAGCGAGCTTTTATTGTACAGCCCCTAAACAAATACGAGCAAAAAATAATTTCCTAATTGGATGTAAACTAAATTACCGTGCTTGTGACCCAGATGGTCACGCTCGCTGTGTACTTGTACGCCCTGGGGGCTGTGATTGCGGGACAGTTCCTGGACGGGGACCATACAACAGAAGGCTTAAACTACAACTACTACGTGCCAGCTGCACTCCTACTTCAAATTGGCTTCTACTGCGGCTGGTTGAGGGTCGCAGAGACCCTCATCAACCCTCTGGGCGAAGACGACAATGACTTTGACATAAATCCGATAATAAACAGAAACATTACAGTGAGATATCTTACCCTCTTATGTTGCGAGCTAAATGAATTAATACCTCATAAGTTGGTACACGAGCTTAAAAATTTTTAATTTTTCCTTACTTTCAATTCACGTGTTTTCAGTTTCAAGCCCACATTCACAATTAATTCGATCGTAATCCTATAAAGTGTGTTCCACATATATTCAAGAAATAATCTATTATTTTCCACACAATTTCAGGTATCGCGCCAGATCATCGGCAAGCACGGTATGTGCCCCGAGCAGTTCGCCGAGGATGAGGTTGACTACTTCACAAACAAATGGCCACGCAATGAACTGCCTTACACTGTCGCCTCAAAAACCTTCGATAAGGAGCCTTATCGCGGATCATTTGCCGAGTATGAAGTCAGATCAGAAAAGCAGAAGTTTGTGGTTAGCTTCGAACCTGACCAAGTCGACATTGAAATGATGACATTACAGGTGTGTGTGCTTGCTAAAAATCACGTATGACAAAAAAACCTACAAAATCGCATCACTTAGAGGAAAAGACATTATTGTTTTCCAGATGCTTATTTTACACATCACATATGTCCAATTGGACGATAGTGGATGTATTCAATCTTTAGTAGAATATATCTTGTGTAGGAGATAAGTTTGAAGCCTCCACTATACGTTGACACTCCTGTAAATCCCAGACAGCCCTTGCTCAACTCATTGACTTTTATGTCTCGAACATAGGAGCCAGAAGACGATCAAGTGAGCCGTAAGGGAGTTTTGCCGTCTGTTCTCCGGCGCCGAAAGTCACGAAAAACCACCCGCCACCTGAGACCAAGTGAGTGAATATCTCAGTTACGACGCCTCTTTGAATTAATATATCAGTTCATATTACATAAATTTCTCAATTATGAGCGCCATGCTGCTTTTTAAATATATTGGTGTCATTTTTAAATTTACTACTGGAAAATTATTGCATGCAAAACAGGTTTTCACACCGAGCGAAAGAAGCTATTGGACTCAAAATAACTGGGCCATTTTTGCAGCGAATCTATTTGAGCAAATACAAGTATGAAAGTCGTCATTAAATAATACCTTCATCGCGCAGGAATGAAGACGGTGAGCATTGAGGAGCTGGAGCAGCAGCGAAAACGACAAACTAAAGTTGAGAGACAAACAGAAAAGTGTTAGAAAAGACGAAGGTTCCATGCCAGATTCCGAGAAAGTGCCAATGATAACTTGAGCAGGACCATATGGAAAATTTGTTACACCTTTCAATGAAATTTACAAATGTCGATATTATAATGATTCTAATACCAATTTATCATCTCATTGCTTGTCAATTTCTATAAAATATTATATAAATATAATTAGACGTAGCATTAAAAAAAGACCTAATTAATTAGTAATATTCGTTTCACGTGTTTTCCTTCTCTCTCTCTAATGAAATTTCATTTCCGATTTTAAAAAGCACCTGGGCCACATAACTTTTTATTTAAAGAAGAGAATCAAACGCTCAATGTCAGAGACTCACTGTTTATTTGACATAATGTCCTAAAGTATTTACGATTTACAATACTTTGGCTTGGAACTTTATCATAAACTTTCTGGACACGTATAGATGAGGTTTGATTTCCTTAATAAACTTACTTCGCCCGATAACAAATCTATTTCTTACAAATGTACCCTTATTAATTGTCTTCGTTACACTTATCGACAGCAACTTAAGTCGAATCGACAGCAACCGAAGTGAAATCCACGGCTGGCGGCGCCCATATGTATCCTTGCGTGGGAAACATTCAATCTTTGGCGTAAAGTACTGGTAACAGATCTGCTTCATTCACCATCGATAATAGCGTACGTAGTCACAACCAGATAGTGGTCGGTATATTAAGGCTAATTGTGTTAGATGTAGAAGTAGTTCTCGTAATCGTTGTAGGAGAGAGTGCGTCTGTTGCTTCTAGGGTCTGTGTGGGCTGGAGTCTGCAGCAGGTCAGGGTTCAGCGAGCAGACTCCCTGTAAAGAGAGAAAACTGAGTCACTCATCGAGGAACTGAGCTTAGACATTAAATATAAAAACAGGTTTAATGATGATACTCGCTGACTGCTGACATTGACGGCTGTGATTTTACTGCATGTACCGTATTATCGATCAAATTCACTGGGTATAGCATAGCACCGACAAAGATATTACACCATCCCAAGCTGAGCTTGATACCACTACGTTACGGTAAACATTGCATACCCACGATGCCACAGCTATTACCCCTTCGTGGCCACACCGCTAGATTATGGTACAGTATTGAAAATAGTAAATGTTACGATTTGAATGAGATGCCAATGCGATGTGTAGCGAATGAGTTATTGCCATGGGTTAGCATGAATTCACACCTTGCGTCTAGAAGGCACCCGCGGAGCTCTGGCAGGAGGCGATGGTGGTCGTCCAGATGTAGAATTGGCTGCCCAAAGCGCGCCGGTCTTCTCCAGGAACTCTCCGTTGCTGTAAAGATGGTCGGCATCCTCCGGGCCGCTCTTACCACAAACTTCGTAGATATTCCTGCCGTCCTCATCTTGAGAGCCAATGGTACAAGAGGCGTCGTTGCCAGCACTAAGGATAACCTTAGTGCTAGAAGGCTGGCCTCTTCGCCTGAGCCTCTCCTCCAGCCTCACCACGTCTGGAATGGAGGCTGGTGAGGCTGACGGAGGCGGGTCTGTCAGGTAATCTTTGGTGAGGTAAGCCTCCAGTTGACTGGTGAGGTTGGCATGGGCGAGTGTCGTAACTTGTGTCGTCCCTGCGCTGGACGGTCGGGACGGCGACGCTGGACGTATGTGAAGCTCGGCGTAGTCGTGGCATGGCCAGGCTCGGACTACGGCCAAGGGACGGTCGTGGGGGAGCAGCCGTATCTCTCCCTTGGGGTTGCGTGTGATCTGCAGCAGTAAAGGGGATCATTAGCAGTTATTAGATTTGATGTTCGTGACGTGGAACCTCCTTTTGCTGGCGTATGAACTGCATTAGTGAAGGATATGGTAGTATGAAATCGGATTTATGATCGTTGCGTTTAAGATTTGCGGCAATAATTCGAAACTTAACAATATATTCAGGGGTCACGAACAAAACTTCTGCGACGCGTATTTGTTTTGTGGCTACTTAACGTCGCGAGACCGAGCGTCATCTTTCGACGCGGCAGATGATGGTAGTGTCTGCAGCAACAAGTGACAGTACCTGCAGCAGGAAGTAGCAGTACCTGCAGCAGGAAGTAACAGTACCTGCAGCAGGAGGTAGCAGTACCTGCAGCAGGAAGTAGCAGTACCTGTAGCAGGAAGTAGCAGTACCTGCAGCAGGAAGTAGCAGTACCTGTAGCAGGAAGTAACAGTACCTGCAGCAGGAAGTAGCAGTACCTGTAGCAGGAAGTAGCAGTACCTGCAGCAGGAAGTAGCAGTACCTGCAGCAGGAAGTAACAGTACCTGCAGCAGGAGGTAGCAGTACCTGCAGCAGGAAGTACTGGCTGGGGTTGGCATCGTTGATGTTGTTGCAGGCGAGGGCGAGGGCGATCACGTGGAGGCAGTCGCTCTTCTCGCTCACCAGCAAACTCTTGTACCGTGAACCGTGCGCCAGACATGCGTCGTATAGACGTACGACGCCACCACGACGCATGCGCAGCGTCAGGCGACACGACGCGTGCGGCTGGCACTCCAGCAGTGCCGTGGGTCGTGCCACGTCTGATAGTGGCACTGTGGTTGATGTTACACCGTCTGGAAAATAGACAGAGATACAATGGGTTCTGGAAATGAGACAGACTTCTGGGTTCTGGAAACCAGATGAATTGCTGACGGATTCTGGAAATTAGACTAACTGCTGATGAGTTCTGGAAATTGGATTGACTTCTGATAGGTTCTGAAAATCAGACAGGCTTCAAGCGTGTTAATGCCAGTAAAGACAGACGGAATGATAAGATTTGTTTTCGGCAGCATCGGGCGTTGTGCTGTAACGACCATTCAGAAGGCTAAATTTAGGAACGCCTATTATCTGATTTATTTTTTTTTTAGTATACAAAGCAAAACTCGAGTATAAATTAACAAGAAGGCGCAGGTTTATTAAAAACGTGTGTTGAAAACAGCAAGTCGAATTCCACTTATGAGACAAAAGTAATTAAAATTAACACTGATCATTAGTCATTCATAGTAATTATAGTAAAATAGGAATAGAAAGTCGGCCGCTTGTGATAACATTTCAATGAGAGCACATTTGCTAGTAAGATTTTTAAATGATGGTGGCAATTATTTACCTAATAACGTTGGTTACATAACATCTTTGTACGAAATTTACGGGAAAATGTAAAAAATTCATTTTGTAAATTTTCTGAGACAGAATTTTTAATTGAAGATGATATGTCTGATCAAAATAACCACCTCCTAACTTTTTCTATTTGTTATCAATGGTCAAAATTGGCAATTTGATGAACGTGATATATGTGATATTTGATGAAGGTTGATATGTGTGGTATTTGATGAAGGTTGTTATGAGTTGTATATGATGAAGGTTATCATGTGCGATATTTGATGAAGGTTGTCATGTGTGGTATTTGATGAAGGTTGTCATGTGTAATATTTGATGAAGGTTGTCATGTGTGGTATTTGATGAAGGTTGTTATGAGTTGTATATGATGAAGGTTATCATGTGCGATATTTGATGAAGGTTGTCATGTGTGATATTTGATGAAGGTTGTCATGTGTGATATTTGATGAAGGTTGTCATGTGTGGTATTTGATGAAGGTTGTCATGAGTTGATGAAGGTTGTCATGTGTGATATTTGATGAAGGTTGTCATGTGTGATATTTGATAAAGGTTATTATGTGTGATATTTGATGAAGGATGTCATGTGTGATATGAAGCCACGCTTGATATAATGCGGATGGCAGCGGAAGCATGCGGCCAACACAGGGCCGCAGGAAATGACCCGAGTCACAACATTTGATATAAAGCTTGGCGGCACCGGAAGCCCGCGTCACAAAGGCATATTGTAACGCCGCTGTACAATATTCCGGTGACAGGCCTCATCATTGTGTGATAAACAGTTCGGCGTGCACCAAACTAACGAAAAATGTATTATCCCTCCCTTGCTTGCGTTGCTCGAGTACTGATGGAAGCACATCTTGATACGTATATACTACTGTAAAACTAGTTAAATGCTAAAATACTAATTAAACATCCTGTATACTAGTTAAATAATACAAATAATAGTTAAGTACTATAAATTCTAGTTAACTACAATAAGTAATAATTGAGTACTCATTATCAAAGCAGGTCAGCGGGACTGCTTCTGCACAGACTCGACAATGGAAGCAAAACGTTGATGGGAGCCTTGGGGAAGCTACACCGCAACTACGCGCGTGACAGCCTGACTGCATCACCATTACCTTGTACTTGTTCCATGTGATGACAGCACACTACACTTGGTGATGACGACCTCCAGGGCGAGGTAGAAGAGGTGATTACTCACCACACTTGGTGATGACGACCTCCAGGGCGAGGTAGAAGAGGT